AAAAAAAACCCCAGAATCTGAGACTTCCATGCCATACACCTGCACCCTGGTATACAATGGTATACCTCTGTGGGCAAAGATTGCAGGCCTGGTGGTGAAGATAGAATGACCCTTTGGCTGGGAAAAATCTTTCTTTTGCCATTCTTTAATACAATTTCTAGTTCAGATTGTGACTGAAATAGATGTCTCATATGAGTAACTATGTTATTAATGTGGTACTATGAAGACACCCAGAAAGATACCCAGAAGACATTCATTCTGAAATGGATACCCCTTTTTTTAGCTCCTTACATCCTACTGCACATAAACCGACTTAATTATCTACCAAGTCATTTTTCAAATGTTATTTCATTTTTAAAATTTGGAGTAATTTTGGCAAGGGATCTTTCCTGGCTATACCTGGATACTCTTAATTGATTTTGGGTAGAGACAGAATATATTTAAATACATGAGAATCTAATTTCAGACAAGAATCAGTTCTATTTTTAGCATGTTATTGTTCAGTACTGAATAGTAATTTASAGTCTATGAACATTTTTCTACATTTACTTAGAGAAAATGTTATCAATTTGCATTAAAAATAAATATTGTTTCTTTCATTTTGCTGAACTTTTGAAAAGYCTGAAGTGGAATTTTCTGAAAGATGCAGAGATTGCCGTAGTTTCCATCAAGACTCAAGTGAGGAAGTAAAAATTCTGTTAATTTTTGGTTGCATTTTTCTAGACTAATATTTTAGCTCTGTAAATAATAGCTGTGGACTGTAATAATACATCAGGCAAACAACACAGAACAATATTTTCAAATGGTAAAATTTAAATAGAAAACCAAGAATAATTATGAGAAGTGTACAATCCATAAAACTGTCTTCACAATTAGTAGAGATGGTGAAACACTACTCAAACTGCAGTGTATTTCACTAAATTCAAGGCATTTTGAAAATGTCTGCTATATTGCTGAGCAAATCTCTTTCTAATGGCCAAACACCACTTTTCATAYTCCCATTCAATACAACCTACTGTCATGTTAACTACCCTACTAGCAGGGTAGTTAACAAACCAGTGCTAAAAGAAATGATTAAAACTAAAAATGTTGAGGATAGTTAGCTCAATTTTAGTTTGTGTTAGATCAGCTTTAAAAAACCCCACAAAAATATTTGAGTATTATTCTCATCAGTGTTGGAGCTATTCTCGAAATGAATAAGTGTATCATACATTTTTGCCATGTTATTTTCTTTGTAAAGACATGGAAGYAATGCATATCTCAAGTGTTTGCCTACCCCTGAACTCGCAGTACAGATTCCATTGGCGTGAGGTGCACAGTGTTTTGTACTCTAACACTGCCTCCAACTGCTCAAGGTTAAAATAACAATCATGCACAGTTTCTGCAATACAAAAGGTAACTGTTTTCCAGAGGCAGTGAAAAAAAGCCCTGGAGGCACATCTATATCACAGTTTCAAAACGAAGTGGCTTGTTAGTTTTCAGTATTCTTTTCCAGTTTGGTGGGACACTAGAGTAAATTAGTGGGAAATTATTTGACCTCTTCGGGTGTCTGTCTGTGTTAGTTATGCAAAATACGCTCATTTGGGTACATCAAAAATATGAATGAGAATCACTCAAGGATAGGAAAAAAAAGTTTAACACTGTAATTTATGTGTTGTAGTTGAACACTGGAATATGCCTTTGGAAATGCTGGGGTTTAGCAGAATGCTAGATTGAAGCTTTTAATAATATAATTTTAAAAGTAACATTTTAAAATGGTGAAAATTCTGCTCTCTGTGAAAGAGAGGAAATGTTTATCATAACACTTTAAACTGAAGTAAAATCCTCTGATCCATTACATAGTACAAGAGAAGACACTGTCTACATTGTATTTTATATTTGCAAATTAATGACCTGAAACTGCTAAGACCTGAATTAATTCTATAACACCACATAACTGAATAAGGACTACTGATGGAATTTTAAGAGCAAATCATGTCAAACCAATCTCTTTCCACAAAGGAGTTACAAGCCTTGTAGGTGGGAGAGAAGCATGAGATGATGTCTTATAGCTGTGTGCTTTACAGCTTTAAGCAAATCTCACATATCATAAGGAACAGAWGTGCAGTTTTTACTGAGTGAACGTAAAATGGATGGAACACCAAAACTATCACCAGAATAATGATCAGTGCCAAAGAGTAGGACAAGAGGCAATGGGCAGAAACTGATGCACAGAAGTTCCACTTGAATATGAGGAAGAACAACTTGTGCAGGTGACCAAGCACTGGTACATGTTGCCCAGAGAGGCTGTGGAGTGTCMCTCAGTGGAAATATTTAAGAACCATCTTGATGCAATCTTGTGCCATTGGATGTGCAATCTTCTGCTCTGGGATGACCCTGCTTGATCAGGGAGATTGGACCAGGTGATCCAGGGTGGTGGCCTTCCAACTTGACTAATTCTGGGATTCTGTGCTTTAGTGTTATTTAAAAAACCCAACCAACCGTAAAACCCAAATCAAAATAAGAAAAAAATAAAAACCCAAACAGGTGGCATCTGACTCAGCCACAGGTCTCTTTGTTCTTTTACCAAATGATCCAAAGGAGGAAATGGGATATATTTATTATTTGTAGAGGACACAAACTAAGACGGGACCAACCTCCTGGCCAAACATTTTGCGGACCAAGATGAGAATTCAGAAGGCACCGAGGAGCCGAAGGACAGCGCCAGAACGAGCCCCTGCGGGATAATTACAGCACTACGAGGAATAAGCCCGAAGCAGTTTGCAATGCTTGCGGTCACCCGGTGTCCATCCCTTGGCCCCCGTTTCCCTACAGACAGCGGCAGAGATCTTCTTTCCGTGCCGCTGCTTCTCCCTGCGGGAGGGCGCGGGTCGCCACCCCGCAGCACCGGAGCGGCAGCAGCTCCCGGCGCCACGCCCTCAGCTCTCGGCAAGCTCTGCCCGGGCCCACCCAGCGCCAGTCCCGCCGGCGGGGCAGCGGGAGGAGCGCGGCGCGGCGCGGCGCGGGGGGCGGGCCGAGGCGCGGCTACACGGCGCCATCTCAGCGCGCCCGGGGCGGCCGCGGGCATGGGAGGCTCCTCCTGGCTGTGGGCGCTGCGCGCCGCCCGCCTCCTCTCCATAGCCGGCGGCGGGAGGGTTCCGGCGGCGCGGCCGTGTGGCCCGGGCTGCGCGCCCGCCGCTTGTGCCGCTCGGTCCGCCGGCTCCGCGGTGAGTGGGGCGGGAGCTCCGCCGTGCGCCGCGGCTGCCATGGCGGGAGCGGAGCGGAGCGGGCGAGGAGCGGGCTGGGCTGTGCCTGTGCTTGCGGGCGCACCGTGGAGGTGGCAGGCGGGACGCTCCGTCCTGCGCTGGCCATGTCCTGCTGCAGGCGGTTCGGCGGCAGCGTCCCTGCGGGAGGGGATGCGGTCGCTGCAGGCGTCGGCGGCGGGAGTCGCTCTGGAAGATGGATGGGCTCTGCCCGGTTTTCACCCGGGCCCGCGTGAGCTCGGTGGGGGCAGCGCGCGGTGCTCGCCGCACAGTTGTGCCGGACGGGGCGGGTGGCACACGGCCTGCGGGGACGCTCCGCTCGCCTGCCCGTCCGTGCAGCAGCGGGCCCCGCGTGCGGCTGTTTCCGGCACGAGCGGCGGAGCGCACCCGCCCGTCTGCGGCCCCTCAGCACCTCGAGGTCCCGCTCCTTCGCCCGCTCCGTTCGCTGCCTTTGTTGTGCCTGAAACAATTGCACCGAAAGGACCGCCAGGTCTGGTCTGTTTCGTAAAGCGTCCGGCTTTTAAAACAGTGTTGTGGTGTATTTCAACCCAAGTTGTTTTTTTTTTTTTTTCTTTAATTGTTAAGATCAACCATATTCAAGTGTTTGTCAGAAGACAGTGTGACTGGGGGTATTTTTTTTTTTTTTTCTTTAATTGTTAAGATCAACCATATTCAAGTGTTTGTCAGAAGACAGTGTGACTGGGGGTATTTTTCAGTAGGCCCAGTCCCTGCCTATCTGGGAAGCAGGATCCGTTTGGGAGACCCCCTGTGCAGAATGTTCTTTTAGACAAGTGGAAATTTCTCACTGTGCACGTGGGTTCCTTCCTGTCAGTGTTCTCTGCGAAAACTGCAGGCTGGTGCATAGGCATTCACTGGCTTTTTGATTTTGTTAGTCCTCAAGCTCTGGGGATGAGGCTCTGAGGGACAGACGTGCTCGGATCCTGTCACGCGGGCTGCCGAAGCAGAAGCCCATAGAAGGAGTTAAGCAGGTGGTGGTCGTGGCTTCTGGAAAAGGGGGAGTTGGAAAATCAACAACAGCAGGTAAGGTTTCTGCTTTTTTATAATTTGCTTTACACGTTTTTTAGCGCTTTGTATGGAATATTTAGGTGCTTGTGTCATTACGTTGTGCTTTTTACCTCTGTCAAGTCYAGTTGCAGCCATTGAGAATCTACTTGGGTACAGAAATCTTGGCTTTAACTTAGGTTTGAAGTGAGCAGACAGCTTTGACATAATATCTTTGTGATGGTGCAGTCTGTTCTGAGACATCAGGACATCTTAAGAGGCGATGCAGGCTGAGTTGAAGGGGATCGTATGCCAATGCAGTGACACTATTCCTCCTTCCCTAGCAGCTTAGGTGTGCCTACACAGTGCCTTTCTGTGCTATGTCAGCAAAGTTGTGTGCTCTGTAGAGGATACTTACAAAAATGTTTCAAGATCAGGACTGTTCAATTTTCTCAACTACTTGCATAGGTGTTTCATAAATAAAAAGTGAAACAGTACTCATAAATCACACAAATTGATCAGAGCCTTGTGAAGCACTTTGTACTCTTCTCTCAATTCCACCATTAGGTTTTGAATTAGTTTTTCTCTAACTGTGCCATTCCTAGGTGGTAGAATGAGATAGTACATGGGTTACCAGTGCTGCAGAAAGTTACTTGAACTTAAGCAGATGACAAAATGCAAAAATGTTTGTTATGCTTAACAAACGAGGTGGCCTTCTTACAGTGGTGGTGGATGAGGGAAGAGTAAYTGGTGTCATTTGTCTGGACTTCAGCAAAGCGTTTGGCGCTGTCCTGCATGACATCCTTGTCTCTGAACTGAAGAGACAGGGAGTTGATGGATGGACCGCTTAGTGGATTAGGAATTGGCTGGATGGTTGCATTGCATCCAGGACTGGGTCACCCAGCAGAAGGAGGACCTGTTAGAGAGGGCCCAACTAGTGCCACAAAGATGATCAGAGAACCTCTCCTGTGAAGACAGGCTCAGAGAATAGGGGTTGTTTAGCCTGGGAAAGAGAAGGCTCCAGGGAGACTCTTAAAGCACCTTCCAGTACTTAAAAGGGGCTTACAAAAAGGAAGGAGCATGACTTTTTATGTGGGCGTATAGTAATAGGTCAAGGGTGAATAGTTCTAAACTAGAAGTGGAGAGATGTAGGTGTCAGGAAGTAATTCTGTACTGTGAGGATGGTGAGGCACCGGAACAGGCTGCCCATACAAGTGGTGGTTTTCCCATTCCTGGAAGTGTTCAAGGCCAGGTTGGATGGATTTTGTGCAACCTTRTCTAGTGGTAGGTGTCCCTACCCATGGCAGGGGTTTGGAGCTGGGTCATTCTTAAGGTCCTTTCCAATCYGAACCATTCAGTGATTCTATGACCCTGAAAGTAAATGTCTTTGAAAAGAATTCTGTAAAGTGTTAAAAATTCGTTTAAAGATCTCTTCCCTAGCATCTAGACTGGAGAAGAGTCATCATTTATTTGAGGGATGTCTACTGTTCATCTCCATGTGTTGTGAATAACAAGTGGATATAGCTCTTAAATTATCATTTTGGTGTTTGAAATGGACTGATTGCCTAATCAATTCTAGAACTAACATAATATCTGTACTAAAAGTAATTGTACTTAGAGAAATTTTTTTTTTATTTTTATCTGCTATCCTATACATAGGATACACATACCTGTAAAAAGACATGCAAAACAATTATAACTTGCATTTCTTAACCATCAAAAGGCATATCATTATAATATATAGACTGGTTGATTGGTTACTAAAAAGACCAAATACCTGTTCATCGGTCAACAGTTTACAACATGAACAAAATTGGAAAAGTAAATTCAGATTATTCTCCTCATGTCTGCAAACAAATGTCTAAGTTCTTGTAACTGGCATCTGTATGCTATTTCTACATAAAATGTAACACATGTATAAATAATACTTAGAGCTGAGAGTTCATTCCTATGCATTTAAAAATAAAATCAGGGTTCAATAAGCATTAAATAAGATACTGGAAATGTAAATGAACCATTCAAATGGATCCGTRTTGGACAGCCTTTTATAAAGGATGTTTTAATTCGTAAATGTTGGGAAGGAAATCTATACTCCTGTTTATATTATAATGAGAATGAATTTCCTGGTTCAGATGAACAGTTGAATTTCAGATAACTTGTATGAACAGAAGTACTGCATGGCATCATTACTGAATGATGTACTTAAAATTCTTCTTACTTGAGGTTTGTGGGGAACATGTTTGGTGACAATTCTGCTGACACATTTTGAGAGTAGGAATTGAAAGAAAACTAGTAAGCACCAACAGCATCTAATTCTCAAAGCACCATAGAAAATATGTCAGTCTTGTTATATGAATGTCAAAAGGCCTCTTGTTTTTGTTTTTTCCCATATGGTTATGTTTCAGTTGCTCTGGATCTCCATTTCAGGAAAAGAGGATCTTCATTCTGCTCATGTTTGTCAGGGTCATTCCTTCACCTGTTGAATTACTCCTTCTGTTTGTTGAATATGACTTTCGCGTTGTATTCTCTGTTGCTTTCAGTGCTTTTTGGTCTTCTGAAATCAATTTAGTCAATGATTAGAAGAAATTATGTTACAGGAAAAGTATTTTTCAATGCGTGTTTAAATACCCTGATTGKTTTTTTGTTGTTTCTATTTGTATAAGTGTTGGTAAGTGTAAAAGTCTATTTGTGTTGGCTTGTTTGTTTGCTATGTTTCCTGTCACTTTCCTGTGAAGTTTCTCTTTTTCAACAGCATTCTTCTGTACTTATGCCATCTGTCCAAAGTTTGAGGTTTGTTTGTTTTTTTTTAAAAACCTTAGGTTTGCCTACTATTGTGCCCACTGTCTCCCTTCCTTCCCTTCAGTAGTCAAATACACCTTATTGAAGAAGCATTGTGAATTGTACTTTCTTTTTCACACATGAAAGTTCTTTAAGAAGATAAACGTGTAAAGTGATTTTAAGAAGTGAGTCTCCTTCTTCAGACAAGAGTTGCCATTGATTTTATTTATTTTTCTTTTTATGTTTATAATTGGTTTGCTTGTTTTTTCTCCGTATCTGTCATTTGTAGATTGGTCTCTAGGTTTCAGAGGATGAATTCTCTGATTGGTTTGGGGAATGGTTAATTGAGCAGCTGCTTAAATAGAAAATTGAAAAATAAAATCTATGTGCTTTGTTAGCTTAGGAGTAGAGAGGCTGTGTGCTTCTTTGAGAAAGCTATACAGTTGTTAATCCCCTGACTGTTTTATTTGAAGAAACTTAGCTTTCTTGGTGTCAAGTTCTTCAAGACAGCAATCTGGCTCCTCAGCTTCTTCTCAGAACTTTTTGTACTCTTCCAGCAGAACAATACTGCAGCTTACCTTTCTTGAAAGACTGTGTGGACATACAGCAACATGTAAAGGAAACAAAACATGTAACCTTTCATTAACAGGAAAGGGTTGTGTGTGTTTGGTTTCCTCCTGTGTTTTTTATTTTTCTAAAACATGTAACTTCTTGGTTTATAAAAATTACCGTTTGTTTTTACTGAGGCTTCCAGGAGGATTCCCAACATAATTGAAGCTGGTGASCCATTAAAGATACATGCTATTTAGTTGAGAGTTAAGTGTTGAGGGAAATGTGAAAGCTGTAAAAAAACCATCTTTTTAGTTGCTTCATCTGTTTTTGTCTGTTTTTTTAGTTACAGATGTTTTCAGGTAGATGTGACTTCGTTTTCTGACATAAAAATCAAATGAGAAGTGTGTATCGCACCTTCTTACAGAAAACATCTCTGTTYATTTTATCACAAGAAATCATAAAAAAGGATATGATCATCTTTTTGTTTATATCAATACTTACCTAATTTCTAGTTTTATCGAAGTTCACTAGTGTGGTGAAGGTTACTGATGGTAGTTATTTAGTATGGTGTTCATCTTCAAAAGTGGGTACTTCCAAAAGATTTTCTGAATGTTATGCTTTGGCAAAATACTGAGACTGTATTTTTATTTTGCAGTGTCCTCTAGAAACTGAGAATCTGCAAGTTTTTGCAGGTTAGCTTGAGTTCGTTTGCTGGTTAACAAATGTGGACTGAAATGTTGTTGCTGGTGCCCCTTAAATTGCAAATATTGTAGAGATGCAAGAAGCTGAGAACCAAGATATTAAATAAGTGTGATGTATTTATATTTTTTTCGTGTTAGCAATTATAACATTCACAATATTTCGGAATTAGGTTTTCCTGCATTTAATACTTTTGTTTCTCCTCTTCTTTCTTTTAGTAAATATAGCCCTCGCCCTAGCAGCAAATGATTCGGTAGGTGAACATTTAATTATCAGCCTTAACATGAAATGTATGTCATAAGTAAAATGATTACTACTGAGGCAGTCACATACATTTAATGTTTTTTTTTTTTACTTAGTTAATTTTTTGTTTTTGATGGGCTTTTGAATTTCTGTCTATTTGTTTATATTTTATCAGTACCCTGAATAACTTAGTGGATTTCATTCTGCTTCTGGATTTGGCTCTGTCCTTTTCCCGGTGTTTCACTGAGTTGAACTSCAGTTCTGGAAGGATGTATGGATGTCATAGTGGATGCTTCTGCACAGTGTAGACACTTAATAAATAATTAAMTTCTATCACTTCAGAACACTGATGTGAAAAACGTAGGAGTTAGTGCTGAATAGTGGCCAAAATATTTTTAATAGCTCCACAAATTTACTGTTTCTGGATAAATTACATGTAGGAATACTTTATCTATAAACAGCTAAGGAAAAAGAAAACCCATAAACTATGATTCTTCCCTAAAGCGTAGAAGTACCATTTTTTGAGTGATTTCCCAGTTTGGTATTACTCAAGCTGTTGCCTGGACTATAAATAGATGGTAGGAACCATTCAAGAGTAAATAAAAACCACAGGTGTTCATTATATCCACCTGCTGCTATAGACTTGGAGTAGTTCTGTTGTGCACATTTATTGCCACACAGGTAAATTTAGAAGCAAGCCTCCTTTGCAGTGGGAGGCTGTGTAGTGCAGGCTTTGTACTCAAAACATTAGATCCAAAGTCTCCTCAAATACTTTAATCAGGCAAATGTAGCATCTTTTTCTTGTTGTAAAAGTCAAGTAAAACAAACAACAGGTAGAAGGAACGATGRCTACATGCAATGTGCAGACTTCCTGTAGAAATTTTGTGTAAGATTTTAAAAAAATTCCATAGACTCAATCACACTTAGTAAAAGTGTTTAAAGCTGTTACATGAAATATGTACAGTTCGTGATTGCATCTGATCTTGTTATTTCACCATTTTTAATTCTGTGTTTTAAATAGGCTGTTGGAATAATTGGGTCACAGAGAAAAATCTGTCATCTTGAAAAGCAAAACTGCTTGAATGGTTCCTTCTAATTAACTTTAAAACATGGCATTTGCTCTAATACTTTTGCAAAACAAGTATCAGTCTGCAATGTGATCTGTTTTGTGGGATGGCCATTGAGTAGCTCCAAGGCAACCATGTCARCCAGTTGCACCTAACTTTCTGTACCAGCTTTTGTGTTTTTTAGATGATGTCTGATACTTCTCAAACATGCAGTTTTATSCATTTTTAAAATGTATTTAGATAATGCATCTCTTAGTACTTCTGCCATATGCAAGTTTTGAGATTATGCCCTTTGTTAGGAGTTTTGATGTTGCAATTATGTGGTGATGTGAAGTTGGAGGCCAGCATCTGGTGGATGATSCCAATGAAGAGCAGCTGAAATTGATGAAATAGCTGTGAATTGTGTGAACTGGTGGTCACAAATTAGCAAGCTGTTACCATAGTGAAATTGTGCATTGATGTAGTTACAAGTTAGTATGAAATTAAGGTGGATTAAAAAAGCAACTTTCTTGTTTGCTCATGCATTAATATATTTTTTTCTTTTGATGTTTGTTTTCTGTAAAATAATGATGGCATGCATCATGTTTATGTTTAATCTTTGGGCTTGAAGTTGGTGGTTTGTTCATTTGTGTACTCACATTGATTTCAGTTCACTAATTTAGTGAGTCAATGCTTTGAATCTCTGTGACCTTGTTCCAATCTTGGACTGTCCRGTGCTCTGAATTCTGGAGATCATTGCAATGTTCAGTTTTGTAATGGTGAATGAAGTAAATAAGGAAGTGGTTTTTCAGGGTCCACTGGTGCCTCATGGTGAATTTTATAGTGAATTTCTTTGTCCTCAGATACACAGCAATGGATGGCTTTATTTTACATTTAGTAGCTACTGATTGTGCCTCACCTTGCCATCGCTTTTGTTCCCTTCATTGCAAYTGGAAATTCACCTCTTTCAGAAGGAGCAGTAATGATTGTTAAATTAGTGCTTCAGGAGACCTTTGTAACTTCATTAAGAGTCCTTATGTCTCTTATAAACAAAACACAGATTGTAGAAACTAATCTTGAATTTGATGTACTGCTTAAAGAGGGAAGGAAAGGACTTGTGTAGGAAAATAGTTCACCATGACTATAAAGGTCTGTGCTACCTTCTTTAGTCTGTGTTACAAGTTCTATACTTGTAACTCAAATGTTCTTTTTCTAAGATAAAACAGATTACAGACTATTGACAACAACTGTTTCCTGGTGAGCAAGATCTGTGAAAGATTCTCTCAGAGGAGATTAGATTAGAGTAGATTCTTGATGCTTTCAGTAACAGCTGTGACATCTTATTTTTGTTTGGTGTATCGTAAGATAGAAGATTAACAGTCAAAGCATAGAGGATTTTTTGTTCTCTTGATAAAAGAAACCATCCTTCTATCTTTTAAAAATCTGCTTTCTGTAGTTAGAAAACAAAACAAGGCCCTCACTGATACATATTTTTAATTTTTTKTTTAAGTATGGCAGCTTTTTCACTTATCCTAGTGATGGTCTGAAAGACTAAGGCATCAACAGAGCCTTGGACATTGTCATGGGCACAGTGTTGTTGGCAGAGCCAGGATTAGAATTTGGGAGTTCAAAATCTTGCATGCTGGTGGTCAGTCTGTTTGGCATATTTTTACCTCATGGTTACAGAGTAAATAATTCAAGACAAGATTTCATTTAGCTGCCTAAGTACCATGTCCAAGACAGAGTAGGKTTTTTTTGGGAGATTTTTGTCTTTTGGTGTTGTTTTTTGATTCAAAGCCAGGGAAAACAAGCAGGACAGCCTCTTATCCCTCCCTAGAATATTAGTTTTTTGGTACCCTGGGTTACCTGTTGTAGATGGATTAGTTAAGAAATATATAAGCTCYTGGACCTCTACTGAGGCCTATAAATCTATACAGTGTTCTCTTTGTGTTAAGAAATAACTTAAGGTTTTACCCTTGTGTCCTATTGTTAATTGCTTGCTTAGTTTGACAGCTGATTCTTTTCATTCTTTTGATGTACCAGCAGTCAGTTGTGCTCCCCTAGGAGCCCTTGGGAAGAATTTTTGGGTTTTGTGCCAGGACGATTCATATTCAGACTAGAATGACTATTTATGAAAGCTGCCTGGCCAGAGACAATTTATTATAGTAGAAACAAGTTGAATTAATAGATGGCAGCAATAATAGGGTAGGGATTGCTTGTTTATGAACAGAGTATTTTAGTGAGCAAACACCAGCTGTGCATGACTAAGGATGGCACAAATCCAGTTGGGAGGCTGCATGCTTGTGCTGTCACTATGAGGCAAGCTCCCCAGTCAGATTTCCTTTGGCTCGTCTTTTCGTTCGGGAAGATTTACTTTTTCACTATAGGATGAAATGTTATTTTCTGTTGTAAAGGACAGAGGAGCAAGAAGTGAAACCATATGGACCAAGTTAGCATGTAAGCATAAGCGAGTGGCTTGTGCCTGCAGTAGTGGGGGCACGTGGTGAAAGGCAGCAGTTTACAGTACTCTAGCCTAGCGCCAGGGGTTACCGGGCCGTGCAGACCGGGACCACAATTGCTGTTTATGGAGGGTGATTTTTATCCGGGGGAGCGGTCCCGGTGTTCCCAAGCGAACCCCCGGTTGCCGAGCAACGCGGGCATGGTGGCGGGGGGAGCGGCCGGCAGGGGGCGCGCGGGCAGCGGGTGCGGGCGGCGCGGGGATGGGGACAGGGACGGGGATGGGGTGCGGGCTGCCCGGGGACAGGGACGGGGATGGGGTGCGGGCTGCCCAGGGACAGGGACTGGGATGGGGTGCGGGCTGCCCGGGGACAGGGACAGGGATGGGGTGCGGGCTGCCCGGGGACAGGGACGGGGATGGGGTGCGGGCTGCCCGGGGACAGGGASGGGGATGGGGTGCGGGCTGCCCAGGGACAGGGACGGGGATGGGGTGCGGGCGGCACAGGGACAGGGAGGGGGATGGGGTGCGGGCTGGCCGGGGACAGGGACAGGGACTGGGATGGGGTGCGGGCTGGCCGGGGACAGGGAC